TTAGCGCACTGTGTTTGTAGAACGTTAATAATCGCAGCAAAGCTTAGATTCGATATAAGTGAATTTTAATATGACAATTACATCTTCTGGTAGTCGTGTATTATGTAAATATGATAATTTTAGATTGGTTTAACCCTTGGCACTCGGAAGTTTCTCTCTAGAAGTATTTAACCCTTTGAACTCTGTAGGCTCCAATATTGCACCAGATGTAATATAAATGTTTTAATGAATCAAAGAATCTATTCTAAAATTATTAGAGTTTCTATTATTAATTATCAGATTTTTATTAAAAGATTGAAGGTATGTTACAGCATTTTTCATTTTCGCTAGAGACACCATGAAAATTAGTTGCAGTTGCTGGTAGATTACAAAACCATCTGGAGTGCTAAGGGTTAACATGTTTTTACGAGACGAAGACGATATTCTTTGAAATTAACTCGAGAAATCACAAGTGTATCGAGGAACAAAGCTGTATTCCAATATTTCACGTATTGTGTTACACAAAGTTCAACATTGAATATCAGACTTTATAGTTTCACTGCTTATAGGTTAACCTTTGCACTCGGAAGTTTTTCAGTAGAAATATGAACATTTTCTGATGAGATAAAGACGACATTATTCGAAACTAATTTAACGACGATTCACAGATAAATCAATCAACAAAGCTATTTTATTCAAATACTTCACATTGCAATACAAAGTTTAATTTAAAGTACTAAATACTCAACTTCATACTTTCGCTGTATCAAATCAAGTAATGACTGAGAGTCATCTCCCGAGTGCAAAGGTTAATTCCAATTCAGTGTCTCCACGGTTTCAGAACACTCTTCGAAATACGCGTTGACGCAACATTCTGCCAAAGGATTGGTCATCCTCAGCTCTCGATATTGTCTGTATCGGAAACTTGGCGAACAGTCTTGCCAGACGTTTTGGTATAACGAATTCTATTTCACGAGGAGTACAATATCGTTTCGAACGATTCACTTCAGCCTCTCCTTCCCTCGCTCGGATTTCCATCAATTCCGATCTACTTCGCGGCCGGCCATTCTTCCGGCGGAATCATTTGTTTGTTTTATTGGCTCGTTTCGTTCCTCGGAACAGCACCGTTGTCCGAGATAATGGACAGACGACGGCGAACACGCGACACGGGAACGTCGGCAGTATTTCACTTAAGTTCGACCATTCGACTCGGCCGGCACGCAGTCACCGACGAACCAGTATTTATCGTCGGCGGACGCGTTACGTCCACTTTCGGCCGGGGAAACTTATCTCGAGTCGAAGTTTACTGGCACCGGTGAACGGAGAAAAGTTGCCCGACCGCCGCCTGCCTTCCTTGCTGGTTACACGCTGCCACTGGCAACAATGGACCGCCCGGAATCGCGATAGACGGGCCCCACATCGCGTGCACACTTTTCCTCCTGTACGATGTTACTCCGGGGGAAATCGGGGCCGACGCTGCGGAAAAAGGGTTATCCGACTCGCGGAACTCGCGATTCTAACGTATAACGAAGTTTATTAATAAAGGTAAAGTGGAAGGTAATGTGATAATCATTCTCCGGCTGTTCTATCAATTGAAGATCGTAAGCACGTGTTGCGCTCGTGATTCTTTAAATTTTCAGCTAGTTGAGTTTCCTGAAGCAATCACGTTATTTTTCAAACATACAAGTGACACCAGTGTAATTAACCATTCACACTGGCATCATCCTTCACTTTATTAACCCCTTGGCCTATGATATGTTTCTCAACTCTGGTCGATACGGCTGCTTTGTCATTAATAATTTATTGGAAAAAGAGAAAAATTCTAAGCATATGTTATGCCTATATTTCTTTTTAAGTGTAATAGTTGATTATAGAGGAATAATATTGACTTTGATTTCGAATCAACTGAGTAATACATATATTTGTTGAAAATCTTCACCACGAGTCTAACTCGTTGTAGGTCAAGGGGTTAAACATTTGCACTCCAAGAGTTTTCTACCAAAAATACCCAACACTTGCCGATGAAATATAGTTAACGTTTCTTGAAACTGGTTTCACGAGCAATCGTCCATAAATTGGAGAAAGAAGCTGTTTCATTCTAATATTTCATATATTAATGCATCACGCGAAACATAATATTAAATATTATACTCCATAATTTTTCTTTGCTAAATCGAGTGGAGACTGAGAGGAGCCTATAGAGTGCAAAGGGTTAATAAATGTAAAGTGAAAGGCAATGTAGTAATTATTCTTCGATTCTTCTATCAATTGAAGTTCCTAAGCACGTGTTGCGTTCGTAATTCAACTTTTCAGCTAATTAAGCTTTCTAAAAAGCAATCACGTTATTTTCTAAACATACAAGTGACACTAGTATAATTAACCATTCACACTGGCATCATCGTTCATTTTATTAACACGTTGAACGCACGATTTCATAGAACAAAATGCACAAACTGGAAAGAATGTAATATTAAATCATTTGATTGAATTGCGTTATTATTATTGCACGCTGACCTTGCTCAATGTCACCGCATTCGATAGCATTGTTTATAATATAGAAAGGTTGTCAAATAATCATCTTTTAATTAAATGAACTATAATCGATTTAATTGGGGGTCACGGGTGACATTGGCATTCAGCGTATTAATAAAGGAAAAGTGAAAGGCAACGCAATAATCATTCTCCGACCCTTCTATCAATTATTAACATTCTGAATCGCGAATTCTCGTAATTCTTTAATCCTTTGCACTGTATATATTCCTTTCAGTCGCCAATTGATTCGATACAGCAAAATTGTAAAGTATGACAAAGTTGGAAATATTGAAATAATAATTCTGTTCCTCAATTTATTCGCTATTTCTCGTCAAATTACTTTCAGAAACTCATCTGTATCTCGTTAGAAAATGTTGATTATTCCAGGTAAAATATTTCTGGAGTACGAAGGGTTAACTTCTCAGCCATTCAATTTTTCCGAAAAGCAATTACCTTATTTTCAAAATATACAAGTGACACCAGCATGATCAACCATTCACATCATCATCCTCCACTTTATTAATAAAGTTACAGTGAAAGACAATGTAATAATCCTTCTTCGACTTCTCAGCCATTCAATTTTCCCGAAAAGCAATCACGCTATTTTCAAAACATACAAGTGACACCAGCATGATTAACCATTCACACTATCACTCTTCCACCCCTGGAAACGCTTTCACGGATTCCCTTTCTCTTCGTTTCAAATTTGACTCCCTGTCATCTCTCCGACAGAGATTATTTTTCCAATTCCGACCGAACCTTTCTACGCAATGCTGCATTATCCAGAGTGTTGTCGAGATTGCGATATCATGTATTTCCCGTGGCATCAGGACGAATGTATTTTTTACGGGCCAGTGTTTTTACTAGAATCGATACCGAAAGCCCGCCTGTTGCACGCGCATGGATTCGGGAGTATTTTAAGTAGAAATGACGAACGACCGGTCAAACACCGAGTATCGTATCGCACTACATCCTGCAAAACAATCGCCGAAACAAAATTCATTACGTATTCCAGATCACGCACGATTTCGACGTCCCAGACTTCCTTTCCGCTGACACATCCATATTACAGCATATTATAGTGATCCCGGATGAGCCCTCAAGTTTATAGTTGGGCTACTATTATTATAGATATTGAAAATGTGGATCTTTAGTAAAAAGAGAATTAGGAAACAATATATATGTATCTAATGAGATAAAGAAAGAATGTGGACAACACGTAAAAATACAACTTAATACCACGAAGGCCAACACACGACTCTCTATCACGCACAAAAATGTTCTTCTCCAGTGTCTATCACCAAAAATTCGGCCCATGAAGGGTTAAATCAACTTTTAAGTTTTACGTTTTAAGTTTCAAATTTTAACTTTCAAACTTTCAACTTTCAACTTTCAACTTTCAACTTTCAACTTTCATACTTTCACACCTTCAAATCTTCAAAGCTTCAAACTTTCATATTTTCAAATCTTCAAAGCTTCAAACTTTCATATTTTCAAATCTTCAAAGCTTCAAACTTTCATATTTTCAAATCTTCAACGCTTCAAACTTTCATATTTTCAAATCATCAAAGCTTCAAACTTTCATATTTTCAAATCGTCAAAGCTTCAAACTTTCATATTTTCTTTCTTCTAACATTCAAGCTTTCAAATCGTCAAATCTTCTAACATTCAAGCTTTCAAATCTTCAAATCTTCTAACATTCAAGCTTTGAAATCTTGAAATCTTGAAATCTTGGAATCTTCAGATCTTCAAATTTTCAAATCTTCAGATCACTGTGGATATGATAGTGATCCCGGATGAGCTCCCAAGTTCATAGTGGGGACTATTATTATTAGATATTGAAAAGGTGGATCTTCGGTAAAAAGAGAATTAGGAAACAATATGGAGAACACATAAAAATACAACTTAATAGCACGAAGGCCAACACACGACTCTCTATCACGCACAAAAATGTTCTCCGCTGTCTCTCACTAAAATGTCCTTCTCGCACGCACTCCCACTCGCTTTTAACACACACCTCCATTCGCTCTGTCTTTCTCACCCTTGCGCCCTTCTCACTCGCATCGTTCGTCCATAGTCAAAATTCACGCAGTCACCGTACACGCTTTTCTCACGGTCCAGTCGGTCAGTTCCAGACACTCTTCCTAACATTCTTTCAGCCGCTCGAGATTTTCTAAACGCAGTCACACTATTTTCCAAACACCCCAGCGCCGATCCGTCGCAATACGCCCTTACGCACGCACAACAAACCATTCATACAATACTTTAACCTACGCTAAATAAGTCTAGATACTACAATATTTACATTTTACGAGCCATCTCCATTTCGATCGGCCGCGATTCCGTGAATACGAGGAGGGTTCACGGTGGCGGCGCACGTAGCCGGGGAAATTGTTTGTAGACCGACAAAGCTCCCCTTTTTCGCGTCGCGCGGATCGTGAAAAATGAAATGGGCTCGGAGACAGAGAACTTTCGAAAATTTCACCGACCTTTTGATCTTTCTGCCAGATGCATTGGCCCCTCTTGCCGAGCACCCGGCAGATCAGCTTAGCGTCCTGCCCGGGATTCACCTCGGTGTACTGCGGCGTCTCCTCGAACTGCTGTATGCCGCGACACACTGAAAGCACACGATGAAAAAACTCATTAACGGATTGCGATTGCGAGGCAATGGCCGCGCTCGCGAGCTCGCGCTCACGCTCGCGTGGATATCAACGGATAGTCAACAAAGAGTTAACGTGTTCCGCGCGCGTGCTTCTATCGTTCGATGAAAAACGGGGCGCTCGCTCGCGTGGCGAACGTAAACGGAAAGTTGTTCCGTTTCGAAATACCAAGGAAATCACCCCGGGGCGGAGCGGCGAGGGTGTATAAGCGCAGGCTTAGCCGGCTATTAAAGCAGGCCGTTGCTCGTTAAAGTTGTTATTTAATTCGCAACTTCGACGAAATTGGTTTAACCCGGCCGCGATGCATATACCGGCCGTGCCGATAAATTCTATCAGCGGGATAATCGCGTCGCGCTCGTTCGAAGCGACGCGCGCCCCCGATTCCGACGCTGTCTCTACCGATCTTCCGATTCGTCAGTGTCTCCGATTATTTCTTAGTTTCAGTCGAACGGCGAACTTTATCGGTGTCTCGTAATCGACTGACGATGAGCATCCAATTAGCGGACGATTAACGGATGCGACGCGGTGACAGGCTAGAGTTTCTGGGAAATGTGGTACTAACCCACTCCGAAGTTTTTCACTAGAAATATTTTAATATTTTCTGATGGGATGAAGATGGTATTTTGTGAAAGTTGAAGAGAAATTCATGGGAATTGACGGACAAAGCTGTTTTGCGTCAATATTTCGCAGATTGATGCATTATGTGAAGTGTAATATTAAATATCAAATTTTATAGTTTTACTGTATGAAATCATGTGGTCACTGAGAGTCACCACTCTAGTGCAAAGGGTTAATGGTATTTTATATATGTTTTATTTAAGAAAAAGGAATAGATAATTGAATGAAATACAAATAAATAGAAACGTTATAGCTCGCAGTGTCTTTTCTCTTCTCAGGTCAACTCAACTCTCCAAATCTCTCGCCATCCGCACTTAACCCTTTGCACTGGAGAGGTGAATCTCAGACATCGTTTAGTTTAACCATTTGCGGACGAAGATTCTTTGGAATGTACAGAACCTTCAGCAGATGAAGCTAAAATATACATTAACCCCTTAACTTGTACGCTCGAGTTAATTCGAGCGCGCTAAACAGGCCAAACTGTGAAAATAACAATGCGAAAGCAAAGAAAAAAGATCGTTTTATTGATACTTATCATTTACATGGGATTGTAAGCTATAACACTTATTTATTCAAGAATAAAATATAGCCTTTTTCCATGGAACAAAGCGCAGTATATCAAAATAGATTTTCTTTGGTCGGTTTTTTTAAGAAAAACTGTGCGTTAAGGGGTTAATTGCTTAAATGATAGCAAAAGCAGAAACTACACGCTAATCTCTCGCTGTCAGCGTAATTAAATCATTCGACTTAGTCTTCCAAATGAACGTTTCACCTTGCGAAATGTCGACATTCGCCTACAAAGGGTTAAATGGTACAATTATGTCACTACAAATAAATAGAGAAAAAAATCGTTAAAACAAGTAGAGGTTGCTATAAAATAGAATGTCGAGTCTGACTCGATACAGTACTGCCAAGGGTTAAATCCATGGTCTATCAAGGGTCAGAGTAGACCCGAGCACCGCCGCGGTGGCGAAATACCGGCCGATCCGATGGGATTAAACCGCGACAGATTCGCAGCGCGGATTCCCGTTCGAATCGACGGATTCGTTTCACCGGCGGTCGCGGATCACGTGAAAGTTTTACGCGATGGCGGTGGCCGCGTTGGCCGCGTTGGCCGTGGCGCGCTGCGTCGGATTGCACCGTTAAAAATTCAATTTTTCAGCGAGATGAGAATGATTAATAAAGCCCGGTTTTTGCCGAGGTGTCCCGGCGCGCGGGCCGCTGCCCTCTCACTCCATCGCGGTTACGCGGCCACGGGAAATAACTTTGCAAAATTAACAAGCCGACGGGAAGCGGATTCGTTTCGCTGGGACGAGCGCGGCTGCGTTTTACGGCCGGCGGAGAGGTCGCGCCCGACCGGGCGGCCGTGACTTCGATCGTACGGACATTTACTGTCGTTTCGGGTTGGATAGAGCTCCATCAACTGCCTCGGGCTTTCTACCTTCGGGAGGAACCGGGCGGCGCGGGAATCCTATCATTAGGGACACTAAAAACTGCATTAGAGTAATTCGCAGATTGGCTTACTCGGATCAGCCGGCGAAGTCTGCTTAAGTCTGTATCTACTATCGTGTACACTGTGTTACTGACTATTAGAAAATCGAGTTATTAAATCGTAGTTATAGGATATCATAGGTTCCGTATGGATACAGCAGTTTCTTAACTGTTACACAGCCTTAACCCTTTGCACTCGAGCGGCGCCTTTCAGTCGCCATTTGATTTGACCCAAGAAAATGATAAAATCTGAAATTCAATATTAAACTGTCTATAATGTATCAACACATGGAGCATCGAAATGAAATAGTTCTGTCACTTAGTTTACTCGGATCAGCCGGCGAAGTCTGCTTAAGTCTGTATCCAAATGGATCTATTATCGTGTACACTGTGTTACTGACTATTAGAAAATCGAGTTATTAGATCATTCGTTCGCGTATGGATAGTTTCCGTATGGATACAGCAGTTTCTTAATTGTTACACAGCCTTAACCCTTTACTCGAGCGGCGCCTTTCAGTCGCCTTTTGATTTGACCCAAGAAAATCATAAAATCTGAAATTCAATATTAAACTGTCTATAATGTATCAACACATGGAACATCGAAGTGAAAGAGTTCTGTCACTTAGTTTAGGCAAGGTATCTCTTTATGTTAGTTGTAAAAAATACCATCGATATTTCATCAGAATATAATGTGTATTTATTGAGAAAAATATTCTCGAGTGCAAAGGGTTAATACGTTAAATGCCATGTCAGTCACTGGTGACTGACGCTTCTGAATGACTAAAAAATGATTGTAACATACAAGACAACCGATGTGAAATGAAAATGTTTAATAAGGCAACTAAGTTGAGAATAGTGTAACGCAAACGTTGCAACATAATTATTCCTACTTTTCTTTGCTACAAAAGACAAACTCTATGGGAAAACGCTTAAGATTTTCGTGGCGCTTAACGTGTTAACCCTGCGGAGGAAGATTCTTTGGAATCTAGAAAACGGTCAGCGGATGAAGCTAAATTATAGATCGATTGCTTAGATAATTGGAAAAGGGAAACTACGTATCGATCTCCTGTTTTAGTAATTAAATCATTTGCGACTTAGCGTTGCAAATCTGAACATCTCAAAATGTCGACGTCCGTCCGTAAAGGGTTAATAATTTCCCAGAACATCTGTTATTTTAAATATTGCAAAGGAAGGACTCAGAAATAAGGGATTTTGATAAATCTAGTAATTTCATTGTTAAAACAGCGCTGATCTCCTGTTTTAGTAATTAAATCATTTGCGACTTAGCGTTGCAAATATGAACATCTCAAAATGTCGACGTTCGTCCGGAAAGGGTTAATAATTTCCTAGAGAAACATCTGTTATTCTAAATATTGAAAAGGAAGAACTCAAAAATAAGTCGTTTTGATACATCTAGTATATAACATTTGACTAATCTCTGAGCCTATCACACCCTTCCCGCTCCACCTGACAATCCAACAGTCCGCCGTCTAGTTTGATCAGTCCATTATCCGCTAAACAGATTACCCGAAGCGCAGATTTCAAAAAACTGGCGACGCGGAATTCCGCCCGCGGCCCCGCCGCGCGAATTACACGGAATCCGGGTCACGAGTTCCGCGCTTCCCGGCGCGCGGCCGTTCATCCGAGAATTGGGTTGAAATATTAACGCGATGCAGAAGCTGGCCCGCAGCAGATATTGAAATCGCATCCGGGGAACACGATCCCTGCCGCGGGGGGGACAAACAGGCGTAAGTTCCTGTCGTCGCGGCGCACGGAGGAGGATCCTCGATAAGCTACGTTCGGACCCGGCGAAAATAATTTATGACGGTGATTCACGGCCGAGACAAAGACCTTGCCAGAAGTTACGATGTAACTTCCACCCCGTTGAATTATGCAACCTCGGGAACACCGGCGAGGACTTATTTTCACCGGGTGCCAGAGATAAAGCGCGGTTGGAATTCGCGGCGTCGCGCGAGCTGGTTGCTTGTTTGCGGCGCGGCGAAGCCTCTCATCCTATCCTGGCTGTTCATCCGATGAAATTAATATCACGGTATCGAAAATACTTCGCGAGAATATTTTGAGGGAACAGTATCGGGGCTGATCGATACGGAACTAGGCTAATATCGCGAACTTCCCCCTTGGAATCCAGCGCGATCTATTCGATCGAATAGATCGCGCTGGAAAATTCCATCTTTTGAACCTCCGAGGTTGGCAAACCCTTCACTGGTTTCTCCGTACGTTTCAAGTGTTATTGAAAAACTTTGCTCGCTGTTCGCTCGTGCTTCCGATTGCAACAATAGGGAATTAGGTTGAATTTAACCTTTAACGGAGCAATGCAGCAATAAGCATGGTTTTACTTGAAAGGTTCGATGCGAATATGGTAAGAATCGTTTGATTATTTTTACCATGAACCTTCACTGGTTTCTCTGTACGTTTCTTGTGTTATTGACAAACTTTGCTTGCTGTTCGCTCGTGCTTCCGATTGCAACAATAGGGAATTAGGTTGAATTTAACCTTTAACGGAGCAATGCAGCCGTAAGCATGGTTTTACTTAAAAGGTTCGATGCGAATATGGTAAGAATCGTTTGATTATTTTTATCACTGTTACAGTTGTAATACTTTTATTGAACGAGTATTGTAATAGGTCACTTTTGCAAATTTCAAAGGGTTAATATGTTTTGAAGCGAAGACGGTATTCTTTGAAATTAACTATATATATATTATTATATATTATTATATAATATTATTTATATATATTATTATTATACATTATTATATAATTTATTAGAAACAGCACGAGCGCACGTTTCTAATGAATTAACAAAATTATTAAATTTCGGGGTAGTTT